TTGTGTGTGTGTGTATGTGTGTGTGTGTTTCTCCTTGGGTTTAAATTCAGGGCCTGGGATCTGCTTGAGATCTTTCGCTCCACCACTTTCAACCATAGTTCCACTTCCAGTTTTCTGGTAGTTAACTGGAAGTTAACTGGCTTTGAACTGCAATCCTTAGGTCTCAGCCTCTTGAATAGATAGGGTTGCAAGATATGTGCTATTAGCTTCTGGCTAAAAGGACATTTTCAAATAAGTCATTGGAAGCAGACACTGGTTCCTTACACCTGTAGTCCTAGCTACTCAGGCTGCTATATGAGGATGGAGATTCAAAGCCAGCACAGGCAACCAAATCTTAGCTTCCAGCCACATCTCAATGCTCCACCAACACAAAATACCTTCTAGGAACCTGAATTTCCTGATCCACAAGCAGCCTTTCACAGAGACAGGTTTAGAGGACAATTTCACATTGAGTCATAATTTCCTTTGGAACATTGAACCCCACAGTCCTTTTCTTTTTGAGGTAGAGTTTTGACTTGTAGCCCAGAGTGGCCTTGGACTATAGGTCCCCTGCCCACACCTCTTGAGTGCTGGATTACAGCTGTATGTCACCACATCTGGCAAACAGCATAACATTTTTGAACTGACAGGAAATAAAAACCCATGTATCTTGGTGGAGGTAGTCAGGAAAGAAAATTTATAGAATCAGTTCTAGGGCAGTATATTTTCTTTTTGAATGTATAGATTTTTCTATACCTCAGAGGTTCCTATTGCCCAAGGTAATTAACAACCTTAGAGGTACATACTTGAAAAGTAACATTCTGCCTGACTGAGAGAAGTGGGACCCAGAACATTCCAAGTCAGTATATAGTAAAGACATTTGCCCTTTTTTTTTTTTTTGGTCAGTTGTGAGCCTGAACTCTGGGCCTGGGCCCTGTCCCTCAGCTCTTCAGCTCAAGGCTAGTGCTCTACCACTTGAACCACAGCACCACTTCCGGTTTTTTCTGTGTATGTGGTGCTGAGGAATTGAACCCAGGGCCTCATGCATGCAAGGCAAGCACTCTACCACTGAGCAAACTTCCCAGCCCGACATTTGCACTATTCACAATAGCCAAGTCAAGGAAACAGCCCAGATGCCCTTCAACAGATAAGGAGATCAAGAAAATGTGGTACCAATACACAATGGAATTTTACTCATCCATTAGAGAGAAATAAGATTGTGTCCTTGCAGGGAAATGGATGAACCTAAATAAAAAGTGTGTTAAGTGAAGTAAGCCAGGCTCAGAGGGACAAAGCACACAAGTTTACTCTCATATGTGGAAGCTAAATCAAAAATACAACTAGACATGATAACATGTACAGGGCTGAATGCATTTACACACAGAGACTGGGAAAAATCCTCTGAGCAACCAAAGTACTGTTCATCACAAATACTAAGTGTGAAATGGAAACAAGTTTTCATTTTTGAGGGGAGAGGGTACAGGAATGGATGGAGTAAAAGCAGTCAGTGTATTGATGTGCTCAATGTTAAAGTAAACTTTGTATCTTGTGTTAGGATATTGGAGCAGGAAAATGGGGGAGAATGAAGGAAGGCGTAACATTGTCAGGAAGCACTGTCCTCATAACCTGACATGGAACTGCAACCCCTTAGTATAACTATGTAATAACAAGAATAAAAATACTTTAAAAAAGAAAAAATGCATAAAGACATATATCGGAGAGTTCACATAGTCATTATACCCAGCTTACTATTATGGATATTAGGTTTTGAACACCTAAATAAGGTTTTATTTAACATGCTTATCATCTCTACCACTTACATGTGGTGTAAAAACGGCAACCCATGCCATGCCTGGAATGTTCCGAAGCTCAGTTCTGTGATTAAATTGCAACCAAGGTTTCTAAAAACAAACAACAAAAACCATAAGCCAAAAAGAAAGTAAAAGAAAGCATTATTCCAGAACTTTCTTGTGATTCTAATTTACATATAATGAAACAATTCTGTTACTTGCCTGCGTTCTAAAGAAATCTTCTTGTGGGCTATACTGGCTCATGATTTCTGCTTTCATATTTACACATGCAGTGTCAAGTGACCCTCATTGATAGAGAACAGAATTTTGTATATCCACTCATTTTGGGCTGCACAGTTCTTTGCTGTGGAGCCTTTTCCTGTCCATTGTAGGATACAAGCAGGACATCAGCATCCCTCTAGACATGTCTGCCCACTACATGCACATGGCATATCCACAGTTGCTGAATGTCTTCTGGGTACAGGCCATTGGCTGAGAACAACTGCTTTGTAATGAGTCTGTCTGACTTATAATGACTCTCACACTCATCTTTGCTAGTTTAAAATAATTTCATATATATATGTAACTTTTTACTAGTAAAATTTAATTTTATTTCAAAATGAGCTGATATGTGAGATAAAGCAGTGTTTTTCTTCTTTTTTTTGTTGTTTCGTTGTTTTTGCGAGTCTTATGGCTTGAAGTCAGGGCCTGAACACTGTCCCTGAGCTTCTTTTTGCTCAAGACTAGCACTCTACCACATGAGCCAATGTGTCATTTCTGCTTTTTCTGTTTATGTGGTACTGAGGACTGAAACCTGTGGGTTGATGAATGCTAGGCAAGCACTCTAGCACTGAGCCACATTCGCAGTCCGAGATATTGAAACTCTATTTGCAACTTACACGAACTTCAGAAAAGGTAATGATTCAAATGTGCGTCTTTCAATTGACTGTATTTTATTGCAGGACAAATCTCTAGAAAAAGAAAGGAAAATATACTCAGACTCTATTAGATATCTAATGAGTATGATTAAATGTAGACTTTAGGATAGATAATATTGAACACAAGAATTATTTCTAAATGATAGACCTTTGTGTTTTAACTTCCTTAATCAAGTAACTCTCAGCACACCTAACAGAGTTAGACCTATTCTGGTGATCATCATCAATGAAATGTAATTACCGATACTGATGTATGTAATCTTTCAAGAGAGCAGAACAACGAATAGGTTTTATTTTGTATTCTCATAAAATTAACCTCAAGGCTTAATGTAAGATTCTATTATATTTATATGTAACATATAGCTAGATTACACAATATGTAGGATAGTCATTGCATATCTGTTATATGTATAGCCTATAAGGGTGTACTAGGGCTTGAACTCAGGAGTTGCACTGTTGCTAGGCTTTTTTACTCAGAAGCTGGTGCCCTATCACTTGAACCGTAGGTCCACATTCAGCTGTTTGCTGGCAGTACACCTTTTCTGCACTTCTGCTGCACTGTTGCTTGACCTTTTGAGCCTATGAGTTCTTAGAGAGTAGATCCCAGCCTTTTTCATCTTTGTGTGCTCCAATCTAGACGCAGCCAATTTACCTCCTTTTTTATTGGTGAATGATGATGATATACACAGTAGTGGGATATAAATAGCTTGCAATGCGTTTCATGGTAGGAGAATCAAAGGGATGATTTCATGGAGAGTTTTCTTATTTGTTTCCTTCCAATCATGTTTAGAGGTTTGAGAGCCCAGCTGGCAGAAAGGCCACAAAAAGTCAGTATAAAACTAGTTATCAGGGCTGGGAAGGTGGCTCAGTGGTAGAACGCTTTCCTTGCATGCATGAGGCCCTCGGTTTGATTCCTCAGTTCGATTCCTCAGCACCACATTAAAAAAAAAGAAAAAAGCTGGAAGTGGTGCTGTGGCTCAAGTGGTGAGCACTAGCCTTGAGGTGAAGAGCTTAAGGACAGTAACCAAGCCCAGAGTTGAGGCCCCCCGACTGGACCCAAAAAACAAAAAAAAAACAAAAAAAAAAACAAAAAGACTAGTCATTACTGGGTTCCATTCCTCAGTACCACATAACCAGGAAAAGCCACAAGTGGCACTGTGGGTCAAGTGGTAGAGTGCTAGCCTTGACTAAAAGAAGCTCAGAGGAGACTGTGCCCAGGGACTCAGTTCAAGCCCCAGGAGTGGGGAAAAACAAACAAACAACAATGACAAAAACTAGTCATCACCTTAGAACCTAGAACCTAGAAGGGTTGATAATTGAAAGCCTTCTTTTGTGTTATGCCAATCACTTAAGAGTCTCTCTTGTTTTTGAAAGAATTACTTGAAAATAGCTCATTATTATAGGAGGCTGATTAATGGAAACATTCATAAGCTTAATGAAGGATGGATCTTTGGTCCCCATGGACAAAGCATAACAATGAGGCAAAACATGTGTGTGTGTGTGTGTGTGTGTGTGTGTGTCTGTGTGTGTGTGTATGTTTTTGTTGTTTTGGGTACCAGTACTGAAGTTTGAACTTAGGCCTTGGATGCTGTCCTTTAGTTTCTTTGCTCAACGCTGTTGCTCTAACACTAGAGCTATAGTTTCCCTTTGGTTTGTGTCTTGGGAGGGGAGATGCGTGCATGCACCCATGCCTGTGCATTGGTGCTGGGGCTTGAATCCAGGACCTGACCGCTGTCCCTGAGATCCATTTTCTCAAGGCTGGTGCTCTACCACTTCAACCACTGTACCACTTTTAGTTCTGGTGGTTAATTAGAGATGCGAGTCTCCCAGACTTTCCTGCCCCAGCTGGCTTCAAATTGGAATCCTCAGATCTCAGCCTCCTGAGTAGGTAGCTAGGATTAGATGCATCAATCATCTGTGCCTGGCCAGGCTGTACATTTTTTTTCTTTTGCCAGTCCTGGGGCTTAAACTCAGAGCCTGGGCACTGGGTCTCCTCTGAGCTTCTTTTGCTCAAGGCTAGCACTCTACCACTTGAGCCACAGTGCCACTTCCAGATTTTTCTGTTTATGTGGTACAGAGGAATTGATCCCAGGGCTGCATACATGATAGGCAAGCACTCTGCCACTAAGCCACATGACCAGACCCAGGTTGTGCATTTCTAAGGAAACGTTTTTATGAGTATGAGGAATTGCTAATGTCTACACTCCATTTTTCTTAGAAAGGACAGTTTTTTCCCTATCTATATGTTATCTGTATACTCAATCTGATAATGAATAGGAAGTATTTATTGCTAGAGATGAGGCCAGATAGACACAGTAGTTGATAGCTGCAGAATTGATTGCTAGAAGAGATTTCAGTACTGAATCTGAATAATTGATACATAATTACAAACATTAAGGATGCTAACTTACAAATATTCAAGGGATAGGAGTCCTTCAAATGTATCCTTATGTAATTCAGTAAGGCGATTTTCGCTGAGAATTCTGGAAGATAAGAAAGTTATTTCTGGAACTAAATTCATCCAACATTGGGAAATATATTGAATGGAGAGATAAAGTATGGGAGAAGAAAGGCTGTCATTTTCTGTTGCCTAGAGTATATGGTGGCACGACTTTTTTGATGACAATTAACATTTCATGTGTACTATCACTGTGTTCATCATAACAAGCCTACTTCTAGACTGTTCTGCTGAATGATTTGTCTGGGTTCACAAAGAAGTATATATGAGGATGTTCGTTGTAGCCTGAATGCAACAAGCTAAACGGGAATGCTCTAAATAATATTAAGGGAAACATGAAATAAAGCACGAGGCATCTACATTATATAATGTTTTAGAAAAGATTAAAGGAATAGGATAGTCCTCTATGTCTGTAACAGGAAAGTTCAAAGTATATATTATGAAATGGAAAAATCAAGTTGCAGTATATTACAGTTTATAGAAATTGAAAACCCAGTAAGAAAATGATACCACAGGGGCTGGGAAGACAGCTCAGTGGTAGAGTGCTTGTCTTGCATACATAACACCCTGGGTTCAATTCGTCAGCAGTACATAAAGAGAAAAAGCAGGAAGTGGAGATGTGGCCCAAGTGGTAGAGTGCTAGCCTTGAGCTGATGAGCTGAGGGACAGTGCACAGGCCCAGAGTTCAAGCCCCATGACCGGCCAAAAAGAAAAAAAAAAGACAAAAAAGAAAATGATACCCCAAATCTATTGTACTATATGTAAATATAGTAAATACATATGTAACTATAATAAAGTAGTGCACAACTGCCTGGGAAAACATCTTTCTGTTATACTCTTGTTTCAGGTATAGTTTTCATTCTGTTATTAACATCACTTGTACCCACGAAGAATGTAAGCATGCATCACTTATACAATAGACAATAATTTCCACTTGCCACATGCGTAGTTCAAAGAGGGTCCCTGAAACTTTATTATGCATGATAGCTGTAAGGACTCATCATGCATGCAAGACAAACACTCTGCCACTTCACAGTACCCCAAGTACCCATAAAGTTTAATGTTCAAAATAATGTTAGAATTTCAGTCAGTAGAGGTCAATTAGGATATGGGGGGTGGGGAGCGTAATGGCTTTTCTCAGAGGTACTTCCTTCAAGATTCTGGGCCAAGGTGGGTCCCAGAATAGTGTCATATTCATATTTGGAGAGAACATACTCACAGTTTCTCAGTCCAACGGTACGATGCCCATATATTTTCTTCAATATAAGAAATATCGTTTCCTTGGAAATTTCTATGGAGAAAGTTTACATCCAGGAATAAGTAGGAAAAGATTAGAGTAAGAAAAACTCATTGCAACTTCATGAGGCATAATCTAATGCAGGAAAAAACCCAGCTTTTTCTACTCAGGAAAAAACCCAGCGTTTTCTACATTCTGAAGCTATGAGTTTCCCACAGTTTACACAATAAAGAACAAAAGTGGATCCACTGTCACGAAAGAAGAGGCTCCTCAACAGAAGCTTTTAATTTGCTGTCTGTTCAAGCAATCTCGTGCATATGAAGTTCTAATTACTCTGGATGTAATTTTCCTGAGTCATGTCTGATGAAACTGACATCTAAATCAATAAGCAAATGGTGACAGAAAAAGGGACAAATGCATTGTAGGAAAACAGGAATAAAAACCTCTCTGTCAGGTAGTACCAAGGCTGTGCTTAAGTGCTGTTAAGAAGGATGAAGCCTTCCAAGGAAGTATATGTTGGAAATGTAAGGAATATTAGAAATTAGAGGAATTAGTATGGTGGTGAGGGAAGAGCTCAGAGTCATATTGCATACAGGGTTCACTGAGACAAGAGTTAAGTTTTATTACCTCATCAGGAATAAAAGGCTAAAGACAGACTTTGGAAAGGAGGATGTATGGGAAATGGTATGAGGTTTAATCTGATTGGAATAGAGCATATAAAATGGAGTGATAACGAGTACAGGGAAGAACTGCATGCTTTTATACTTTTATTCTCTATACTTCTATAACTGGTGTGTCTGTGTGTGCGCGTACACATATGCATGCACGCGCTATGGGACGATCTGAGATTTTTGTGTGCACAGGCTCTGCTACTATGCTTTGTCATCAGAAATTACTTTTTGAGATAAGACCTGGTAAAGTTCAGACTGGCATTGAATTCTAGGCTCTCTCCTCCCTCAAATGTGTGTTAAAGATGTGTACTGTAAAATTGGCTTCTGTGGGTTTTTTTTTTTTTTGGAGAACGGAATGCACATATGAAAGCACATGTGGGCAGATGCTGGTGGCCCGTGCCTGTAATCCTAGCTACCCAGGAGGCTGAGAACTGGGGTCACCATTCAGTGCCCCTCTGGGAAGGAAACTCTGTTAGACTCTATTTCATTTTTTGGAGGGGTGGGTCCGGTCCTAGGGCCTGAACTCTGGGCCTGGGCACTGTCCCTCAGCTCTTCAGCTCAAGGCTAGTGCTCTACCACTTGAGCCACAGCACCACTTCTGGCTTTTTTCTT